CACAGTCATACGAGTACACCCATACAAAAACATCAGTTAAAGCCTCCGCCCCCTTTTTCTTTTTACATCCTTCAGCAGTCACTCAAACCCTGTTTCTCTGAGGTTTAAATGTCACAGTAGTGTGTGTTTCTTTCCTGAAACAGCAGGAAAGTTGAGAAATGGCCAATCTAAACAAATGAAGTGAGGCTTTAATCCACAGTTCTCAGAAATGGAGCCTGAGAGAAAGAGAGAAGCAGTAGAGTGTACAGCCAAGTTAAAGACAAATGAAACAAATATATTTCAGAGCCCTGGCAATGTGGATGCCAATGGCAGCCAGAGAAACACACAGACACACACACACACACACACACACACACAAAACGCCTGGGTCAGAGGAAAAGAAAAGAAAGAGATTGACGTGGAAAAGATGAGGAAATAGGAGGAGAGAGGAAACATACAGAATATAAGAGATAATATGCTGTATGCATGTAAATCCATTGTTTTCTTCTCTCCACAGCTGAGGTCACATCTCTTCCACATCTAACACACCCTCCCTCCCTCCCTCCCTCCCTGTCTCCTCCAGGAGGCGGAGGGGTGGCAGATATGCTCCGAGGTTCACTTTGCTACCTGGAGACCGACAGCCTCCCTCTGCTAGCCAATCAGAGGCTGTGAAAAACAGACTCCTGCTCTTTCATTGGTCCTCCGCTCCCGGGAACTCATTCCACTATCAATGGCCGTGTCATTGTGTCGTCTGGCAGTGCTGAAACCAATTATACTGCCCCCTTTCTTTGTTCAGACCTCTTTTCTCCAGCAGACCCCCTTCACGCATATAAGGGCATCCACACACACACACACACACACACACACACACATACAAATCTCCCCCGACTCCCCAGAATGTCACAACAAGAGACTGGGGGGAGTCTGGGAATCAGAGGACCTGAAAGTCATAGTAATGAGACATCATTATAGATCACAGTCAATCCTATATACGTGATCTGACCTTAACCAGAATAAACTGTTTACTGTAAACTGAACAAAAACCTAAACATATTGATTTTTAACTCTTCTGACAAACTTAACCGTTTGCATAATTCTTCTACAGGTAGTCAAGGTGTTATCTATGCAACCCTGTCTACTGTGCCAATTATGTTTATAGTGATGTTTGTGCAGCTGCAACATTTAGCCAAAAGTATGTAAGTTTGTATAGTGCAGTGGAAAGTACAGATGTAGGGACTGAGACAGTTTGCTTTCATCACCTGTTGCCTGCTTCCTACTGTATTGCAAGTATTGACATTTTTTTTAATCATTTAATCATCTGCTGATTGATTTTAAACCAGGAATTTCATTGTCAAACCATACCTCTATTTTCTCTCATCTACTGATGTCTAGTGCTAATGTTTATCATCTTACTTTAGCATGGTAGCATTTGCCAGGTAGCACTAAACACATACTACATTTTTGACCTGATAATGATGCTGGATGAAAAGACAGGAAATCTGTTATTACAATTACAACTAAAACCAAAAATGTCAACATCATAGTGAGGGAGTATTACATTTCTATTTCTTGCTAATCCAAAGTAATACAATTTCTAATTTTGAGAATGCACAAGCAGAGAGTCAGGTGCAGACCAGTGTGAGCCGCCCATCAAAATACATTCACATCTCTCTTCCAGTACAACATGCTTTATTCACCAAATGTTCAACCATCTCGCAAAACTAAAGGAAGGCTGAAGATAGCTGAAAACATCCGTGGAACGAGCATGTGGTGCTGGACCTGTTGCAGTTAACAGGCTTGCGTCGCTGTAGTCTACAAGATGACCTCTGTAGTCTGTTGACTTGTGTGACTTGTGTGACTTTTACAAACAATTGGCCCTGTTGAAACTAGCAGGATGACACAGCATATTTAACAAGCAACATGGGTGAGTGAACTAATGAGGTCTAATCAGCCATAATAATGTGAAGGGGTGAAGGACATTTAGACTGATATTGAAGAACGTGCAGCTCAATCTATTGTGTCTCAGATAACTTTGTCCCGTCTTGTTTTCAGACGCTGACATTAACTCTTGTGTGCGATAAAATGTCAAACTTAGCTCCCCTGCAGCTAACATGAGCAGGATGTGCTCACATGTTTGCACAGCCACGTGTGGTGTGTAAACAGTCACAGGCATGCAGAATATAATAAACACAGTCAGACACACCCCTATAAGAACACCTATAGGCTACATCCACTCAAGGATGCAAAGGTGCCAAACAAACTCAAAAAAGAGGGTGCATACACTGCAGGCATAAGTCCAGAACACACACACAAAAACACAGCCAAGTTGTCTGTTCTCAGCCGCTCCCACAGTGCTGCTGAAGTCCACAGCTTTTTAATCCAGAGACCTACACTTTTGTTTGTCAGCTAGTCACTTCATCACAGCCAGCCTTCCCTCCCATCCTACGTTCTCTATTTCAGTCCCCCAACCTCTTTCATCTGCTCTACTATACATTCGTTTCATTCATTCTCAAACCTCCCCATTGGTTTTAATTGCAACTCTCACCCTCTCTCTCTCCCTCTGTTCCAAACTCTTGTAGTCACTCAAGCTCTCTTCTTCAGAATTAAGGACACCTCTTTAAGTTACTGCTTCCATTTACTGTAAATCATGTTTGTTGAAAGCTTGCTTTCAAAAGCCACATCATCCTCCCTTTTATCTTACCCATTTTCCTCAATGTAGAGAGGGGAGACACTGAGTGGAGAAAAACTACAAACAACTATAAACTACAAATTACTGTGTCATGAGGTTAAACGGGAGAACAAATTATGAACCTGCATACAGATATTAAAACTGTTTCTGGTTAACATTTCTACATGTATCCAGTAATTTAACTGTTGCAGAAACTTTGAGTTATTATTACTAATATTTGCGCAGTTGCAATATAGTCAACAGAAACTTTCTCCATTCCCTAACACGACTGACTGGGACATCCTCAGTGCAGTTCTGCCACAAAGAGGGACACAGGAATAATTTCCGAAAGCCTCATCTGGATAACAAATGGAACATACACACACACATAGCAGTGAAAAGCAAAGAGCTACTGGCTCTATTACAGTTTTACTTGGATTAGGATCAGATGCTGGAGTATAGTTGCCTATTTCTGTCTTCAAAGAGACAGGAAGGGTGACAAAGACACACATGTGTACAAAAGAAATGTGCACAGACATTTTGATTCGCCATCTTCTTTAGTGTCGAGCCAGAGTCATTACTGCCCTATGGCCTACATGTGTGCCCAAGTTCCAACGGTCGTAAAATGATGAAAGGAAGTCAGGGCTTTCTGGTTAAATTAACAGGGCAGTTAATGAGGTGAAAGGACGGCAGTCGCAGCTCAGGTTCACTAAAGAGCAGAGGCCTTCATTCTCAGTGCACAGGAGAGCTGGTGGAAAATGGATTCCTTATTCTCCAGGTTTTTGACAAGAAATGACTTCCAAAAACAGAACTCATTATTTTCTCAATCTCTCTGTGATGTCAGAGATAACACTAGTAAATGCTCCATTTAATGTGAGGAGGAAGCAGATTTGGTGCACTAAAACTATGTTAGACACCTAATTAAACTTATTACTGGCATGAGAATAAAAAAATATTCTTGAAAGAAAGTCACATTTAATATTGTATTACTACACACGGCAGTGAACATCAGGTAAAAAGGTTTGAAATGAACCGTGCTCATACTGAGGACCATTATGCACAAACTGAAGGCTCCTTTCAGATTTCCCTGTAAAGTTTCACAGCCCAATAAACAGCTTTCTTGACTCTTCTTGTCAGTGAAGTTTATCATTTTGACTAACATAGACTAAGTAGCTAGGGAGAGTAAAAGGGAGTTCACTTTTCAGGTGGATTTAACAGATTATCAGAGCATAAACGATAAGATTGATGATTTGCTGTTTCCATTTTAAATTAAAAGCAGCTGCAAAGGTTTCAGTCTGAACAAGTTGCAGCGAGAGTGAGAACATCCAGTCAGAAACTGTAAAAGATTTAGGAGATGTGAATGGAAAGGAGGAATCAACTCACTTTACAGAACAAAGCTGAGGCCAGAGAATCTTCTCCAGCAGTTTTGCTAGTCTTGCATCCGCATAGCTGGTATGACACAGCAGGGCATTTCCAGAACAGGCCAGTAGTGGCTAGGCTGACCACTACAGAGATGAGATTAGTGATGAAGTCATGACATAGTTTGTTAGGAAAGTGTTTTTGAGTCAGTGCTGCTGTCCAGAGGAGGAGATGGTGATACATGATGATCTTAGTGACTGTCAGATTGAAGACAGGTGTGCTTCCTCTGACTGAACTGGGTGCTCTGGTCACAACATCTAAAGTGGGCTAGCAGCTCTAAAGTTACAGGAAATCTGAATACTCAGTTAACCATTTTATTTCTTAGGTTGACTAAAGGTTTGTTTGCTGAAACCTGAGAAATAAAAAGGTCAACTGTATTTGACTTGTATCCCAGTTTATATGTTAGTGTTTGGATTGGTAGAGAAAGATACTGGAGCTAACTATAGGAAGGGGTTATAGAATATTTGTGACAGAAATGGAAAGGGGACACAAATGGTGACTGCCCCCCCCTCCCTATATAAACACTGTTTAATATCAGGGATCATGTTGAACACTGGCAAATGTTGGAAATTGTCTCTGGAAACCATGGAGCCATGGAAACTCTTGGAATTTATCTGTAGAAACAATTTATTCCATTGTTTATTCATTTTTCTGCAGGCTTTTGGCAATAAAATTATAGTTTCAGAGTGCAGAAACTATCTGGTATTTTACTGCACTGTGTGTTTACATGAGAGGGGGCGGGGGGGGGGGGGAATAAGAAGTATCGAGAAATGTGTTTAAAAAGGGATTCACTTTGGCAAAAATACAAGAATACAACTGCGCTAGAAGTCACACACACACTGACATTTTATCACATTAACACATCAACAGATGACGCACACTTTGTTACATAAAATCTGACATGACCAAAGAATGAGCCAGTCACACCATTAAATCATTAAATCACTTAAGACAGTTTTAATAGTTCTGTGTAGCAGACAGAATGACTATGTGCATTATTCTGTATACATAGAGCAATCACTGGAAAAAAAAAATCTTGTGTCCATTCAAATACATTAAAATAATCAACAGTAAAAATTTCACATAGAAAACAATTTCTTTAAAAATAAACAAAAAGGAATGACTCAAATTAGAAAACAACAAATATTCCAGTGATGTTCTGACATGTTTTTCATTTTTTAAAATCTCTCTCTCCTATGCTGAGAACAGTAACTTTTCAGTATCTGACGCATATAATGACCTGGCACTGTCCACATGAAGAGATGGGCACAATATAGCAGACATTAAACAGCAGTCGTGTCTCTGGTTTAAATGCAGCTATGACATATTTCTGTGTGAAGAGCAGGCGGGGCAGTCTTTACACCAAATTATACTCAGTGTTAGTGGATAAAAATGAAGCACCAGCACTCGATCAGAACAAGGATTTCTACACCTACTGTACTTGAAGAGCCTTTATTTTAAGTGCCAGTTCCTCCGTGTTCCTCCCAAAAACATTAACTTTTTTTGGAAGATGTCAAATTAATGCTGTTGTTGAGAAAAAGAAAAGAAAATGTATTCCTGAAGAACTGAACTTTTGGAGCTAAATCACCAGCAATATGAAGCACTGATCTTGAGTCAGCGGAACCGCTGGAGTCGACTCTTTTACATCCCGAGTCTAGATACAGTATTGTGTTTGCATAGGAATAAATATTGCATGGAGCACCTGACATCAACTCGCAAGATTCCTGTCAGATATTACAGCACAACATCATGGCAACATGTATGCTGATGGCTACTGAATACAAATGAGAGCAAGGCCAGACATTCTGCAACTACTGTTGCAGTTTAGTGGGAGGGAAAGTGGGTGAGCAACACAAACACACAGACAACTGAACACACGTACTTGTCTCAGCAGTTTTCGGGCAGTTTTCCAGTGTGCTATATCCTCAGCAGAAAGACCACAAAGCTGTTTATGAACCCTAGCATTTATGACAGCATGGTCGGTACCGTACAGTAATTACAGATGGCAACACACATGCATGCACTCAAACCTACATGCACAAACACACACATACACACATAGAGGAAGTTGAATATGCACACAGGACTAAATATAGGCGGCTTACTTCACACACGCAGACATTCTCATACACATAAACACACGGGCATGTAAACTGCTCAGGCTAGGTTTTGTATGAAAACACCCTTTTTAAGAGCAATTTATTTTTGGTTTAACTGACTGTGGAAGAACTTTCTCCTCCAATCTAACCCTATTTCCCTCTGAGGATTATGGGAATGTTCATGTAAGTAAGCAGGTTTTCTTCATATAACTGTTGTGGGCACGTGTGGTGAACAAGTTTATGTGAATGATCCCCAATTTTCCCCAATCTATCAAACGCATGCACACGAGTGAACTAAATCCCTTCTCAGTAAAATAAACAAAACACACACTGAAACGTACACCCAAGTGATGACTGGTCCAAACACCAGCCCAGTGCAAACTGTGACTGGACAAACCTGGGGGTGAAATGAAAACGACTGGATTTCTATGGGTTGGCACTTTTTTTCAATAACACAGCGAAATGATTAACATGTACAAACAGCATACAACAACATACAGTATATCAGACAATTACAAATTAATATGTTTCATAGGTTAAAAAAAAAAACACAATGTGAAAAAGCGCAAGTGGTCTTGGCCTCGAGTATCCAAAGAAAACTCTATGAAGCACCTGCAGGACGTGCCAAATTCCAGACACCCAAGTCTAAATTTGTGATCTGGAAACAACCACAAAAAATCAGTGTGGATCCCTCCTGAGTAAGTCTTTGGAATCGCTCAAGATGCCCTTTGATGAATGACAGGTGAAAATAAAGTGATGTAGAAACACAGAGAAACAGACAAGAATACATAAACAGATATGTGCACATGCTGAGGAAAGCAATTATATCTTTATGACATTGGCAAAGATCCAAAGGTTGATGAGGGACATCCAGGGGTGGTGGCTGAAGTGAGAGCCCAGCCCTCATCCTCTGCCTCTCCCTGCCCTCCCAGAAGACACAGTCAATGCTAACCCTAAAAGATGTTCCTGTTAAGACAAAGGTCAGAGAAACGCAGGCCCTTTTTTCAGTGATCTAATATCTGATGGATAATGACCTCTGGAATGGCTATGAAATACATCTGTGTTTGGATATCATTGACTCTGTGAGTAAAAAAAAACTCCCTAGGGTGCCTAATTGGACCGAGAGGGAGCAGCATCCAGTAACTCCTCTAATGACTCTGCTCCTTCTGCTTTAGGCTCCTCCGTCTCCTCTGTCTTTTTCTTCTTTGCGGGCAATTTGCTGGATGAAGGCGTGTCTTCCTGCATCAGTTCTTTGGCCAGGATGTTGGTCACTGCATGACCAGCTCGTCGGTGGTTGGCTAAGAAAGAGAAAGAGGGAGTTAGTGGGTGAGATAAACAAATAGAGACAATAAATAAACCGTTTTTATATCATAACAAGTCCATGCAGATATGTCAGTGCATGCCATGAAGTGACATATCTGATGTATGTGCATTAAAAAAAAAAAAGAAGAGAAAATAACAACACCCCATGAGCAGGCAGATACTTAACATTTTTCACTGCAAATGATTAGAGACAACCAGTTCACTTACTTACCACACTGACTACTGGGCTGAACACCCAGTCACAAGCATATGCCTCGAAGAACCTCACAGTATCAGAGGCTTGTGTTTTATGTTTTATGATAAAACACAAAATGGATGCTCCCTCTCTTCCCAACATACACACACGTGCATTACCATGACACACAAACACACAAATGGCTTAATGGTGTGGCTGTGTATGTGTGGATTAGCGTGACATCTGGAGCAAACTCGCTGCTAATGTCAGATTAGACTCAACACGATCCTGAAGAAGTGAAAAGAAATGTAGAAAAATGTGGAAAAGAGGGGGGGAAAAGAGACATTTAGAGGAAGTGGGAGAGTAACGAAGGAATGGAGATGGTGAGTGTGTAAAAGCGAGGAGGGAGGAGAGGGGCAAGACGGATGGTGAGACACCACGAAGAGCAAGATGATTCATGCTGTGGGAAGATTAAAGAGGCAGGGATGAATGAAATTAAGAGGAACATGGATGGAGAGACTGAGAAAGAGGAGGAATGTAAAGAATGACAGAAGGAAGTAGTGAAATAGATCACAGGCAAATAGTGGATGCAGTGAGGAAAAGGTAAGAACTGCATAGGGACGAACAGAGAGACAGAGCGAGTGTGACAGATTGTGCCCTGAGGATGCTGTCGTTTTTATTATTCTACCTGCTTACTCTGTTATTTCATCTCCTCCTCCTCCCACACACACACCAGCAGCAGCCTTGCCTTTATCTCTTATTCCCACCCTCTCCTTTACCACTCTTCGTTCTCCTGTGTGGGAGGACAGCTGTGCAGCAGCGGCCATTTTGAATTATATGGGTCAGTGGGAGATTGTGTTTGTGTGTTTGCTGTTATGTTATGCTGGGCGTATGTTCAGTGCTCTTCATTCCTCAAGCAAACGAGGCTATGAATAACAGGTTAACATCAGTACAGGACACATTTGTTACCATAAACAGACACACGTTGATGTAATGCGTTCCCGTGCTACTGATGAGAAGGAAAAAAAATAAAATCGTCACGATGCAAACCAATAAAAATACACATGCAAATGAACCATGGAAACACAAACAACAAACCAAGACCTGACACATGGTTCTGACGGAGCAAAAAAAAACAACACACAAAAACATGAGTTACCGAACAGGTCTCCAGAACTAGCTGTGACAAGGACACAATTGAGTCTGGGGAGAAAAAGGAGAAGGAGGTTTGGGAGATTCAGAGTCATCTTCACAGTTCACTTGTCTTCTTTGTACGTGAGCCTCAGCTGGACTGATCAGCACAGACAGCAGCTGGGGTGTCAAATAATCACCTCACACACTTTCCTTGGAAAGCACACAAATCACTCATCTCTTATGAACACCACGGGAACACTTTCCCTCTTTCTCAGTCTACTCTCACATCGTCCTCCATATCTATTTTTGTTTCCAAATCTCTCCCTTACTCATAAACTTACTAATTAGAAATTATGCAAATGACCCCAAAAAAAACGAGTGAAAGAGTGTGCGTCAGTGTGGGTGTTATTCTATGTGTATGCGTACTGTGACAAGCTTGTCCTGAAAAATCCAACCCGCAGAGAAAAGCTCTTCAAAGGCTGTCTACGCAGCTCCTCTCGTCTCTCATCCTCCTCCACTCCCTCTTGAGAGAGAAGACTGATAGATGAGGAAGAGAGAGGGGGATAAGAGTCAAGATCAGTGGGTTGTTGCATTGGAAGCAGCATGGGAAAAAGATGAATTTAGACAGACACCTGCATATTCAAGTAATGAGAGGAAAATTCTCAGAGAAGTCGTGCAAATTTTCTCTATATTTAAATATAGTTAAAATACATGAACTCAAACAGCCTCAGGAGCAAATACATCACCTGATAAAATAGGTTTAAATGAGCATATGAAGTTATATTCAATTATCCCATTACATAAGATCATAAAAATAAAAATGGCTAAGAGGATGTATTGTCAACAAATCCCATGTCAATGTGTTAGTCCATCCCTCTAAACTTTCCAAACTTAATATATACAACAGTTCTTAAAACGTGGCTCTGGAAGGAAGGATGCAGTGTTTTTGGAGACTTAAAGTCAGGATATCACTGTCTTCAATTTTGACCACTCCTTCACTCTTCTTTATTCTTTTTCAAACCTCTCAATCTTGTTGAAGTGCACTACAGAAACAGCTGAATTAGCCCTTTAACACGTGGCACTACAAACATAGGAAATGCTCAGTGTGTGTGTGTGTCATATGTAGAATCTAGCTGTGATGTTGTGTAAATGATCCATGCCCTTGGCCTGAAGCCTGGTGTGTGCAGCAGTAGGAAATGAGATGTCGGGACCCACAACAAAGACTGTGTTTAGGTCTGTTTACTGGTGGGAGAGAGATTGAATAAGTGTGTTTGCACACTGAGGGGTGATCAGTGGCACAAAGAGTGTAGTGAAAAGATCATCTGTAACACATTACACTGCAGGAGACTCAATAATGACTGCCTGATGAGGGAAAGAATGCTTTGTTGTACAGTATTGTTTGTGTGCTGCCCTTATGAGTGGAAAATACAGAAACAGGGAGAAGAGTGAGGAGAGAATCGGCAGACAAGCAAGTGTAAGGCGGCTTGAGAAGAGAAGGCAACAAGAACTAGCTCAGTGGCTTTGTTAAGGTACACAGATACAGTACCACCTCCTCTCTTATCACACATTTTACCTACCCTGCAACCCAAGCAAGATAAATTCTGCGTGGTGTGGTGCCGGAGGTTGAAAAGGAAGCAGCCATCTTTATAATCTGAGTTTATTGTCGGTACAGCAGCTGCAGCAAAGCCACGGTCATGTGACAGCATGGCAACAGTGCCACGACTAGCATGATGGTGTGTTTGCTGGACCTCCATCAGTGTCTCCATCTTAGCAGGGACTTATATCTCCCTCTTCAGGCTACACTGCGTAACACACTGCTGCTCTGCACTAGAGGACTGTGGGAAACGGTGACGTCATCTAGCACCATTACTGGCTTGTGTTTGTGGGTTAGCATTGATGTGCAAGCACACGTTATGTCACAGAATGGGCTCAACTGGTGCATATGGGGGGGCTTGCTGGCCTGTATTATCCCACTCAGTATTCAGTATGCATGTGGCATCACCACTGCTTCAGTAATGACTTGATTGATGAGTGTGTGTGAATTATATCTCTTGTTTGCATGTGTGTGTGTGTGTGTGTGTGTGAACATCTGTGAAAGCACACTTCTTTGTAGGGGTCTTTTTCTTTTTGTCTGAGCAGACTGTCTGCAGAGCCAGCGTGTGCCTATTGTTGCTATCCCCTTTATCTCTGTCTCTCTGTTGTGATTGGTGCTTTGTCAATTAGTTGCTACTGTGATTGGTTGCTCTGGAAAGGGTCATGACCCAGCAGATGGGTCTATAGTGAGTGTTTAGACGCGTCATTCCCCTGCACACGAATACCCTCAAATAGCTTTAAACACGTACACACACAAATTAGCTTAGTGTAGCCAAGCCGACAAGTCAGTATTCATACGTAGACAGACCATAACTTACTATCTAAAGCAGAGAGCCAGAGTTTGATAGTGTTTAAAAGTATGCAAGGCTGTCTGTCTTCTGGAACGTGACGTGTGTTTGGGTGTATGTATTGGTATGCAAACATCCATGTGTGTCTTTGTATTTGCATGCAAGCATCTGGTGTGTGTGCTTTGTCTGTATGTGTTTAAAGGAGGGGGTAGACAGACGGGGATAGACAGCTGTATCTGCTGCTTCTACACAACCGGCACAAACACAGTGAGCTGAGGTACAGGTCAAAGGTGAAGGGGTATATAACCTCCGAAGCCTCGTGGCTTTCTGTTCAGTCACACTGTGACACAATAAGCATGACAACACACTCAATAGACCCTGAATAGTCCTTTAACACCGAGTTGGTGACGTTGTCCCCCCCCAGCTGTGAGGGGAGGAAATAAAGAGGAGGGGAAAGGAAGGACACACGTCACGTAATGAAGATCCTTAAAACAATATTAAGTGCTGTTATATAACAAAACAAAATATAGTAAATATAAAAATGTTGCATATATTTTAAGGATACACATTCATAGCATCCTAACACAATGCTTTTAAAATCACATAACTTTGTGAGTTTCATTTGTGATATTTGTTTCATGTGTCTATTTTGTGTCACATTATGTATAGATGTACACTGTTGGCACAACAGGCTGCCTCACAAACTTTTTACCTGCAGGATGCTTTAAAGTCACCCAAAGACTTAAAGATTCAAAAGTATTTAGGTCAAGCTATTTTCACCCACCACTCTGCTGTGAGGGAATTGGTGTGTCCTCATTTAATTACCCTCCTGACCTCATCTGGCTCATGCCAATTGTTGTCAAACATTGCTTGATCCTTTTCTCAATGATCTTTTAGCAATTGAACAAGCTGAATTGTAACTGTTGAGACATTACGTATGTTGGTACAGATGGTAATGTGAGATGCCCTCTGATGAAACGTCTGGGCTTCTGCCTGTAGAGGGTAGCTGATCTGACTAGATGTTGAATGGTGCAGTAGCTTGATTCATGATATTTTAAGGAATAAGTAACATAGGTTGTTGTGAGAATGTGTGATCTGATTGAGGAAAATGTGATTTGTAACTATGATTTACATAAACTACATCTACTAGGAAAGCCCTATGTTAGCCACAGTAGTGGCTAAAGACATTTTCCTTAAACAGTGAACTGACAGGTCAGTTAGAAATGTGAGTTAAGAGACATTTGATAGCACAATCAGACATATCTACCTTATTTATAATGTATACAAGTATGGCATTCTTAAAGAACTTTACCAAAATGGTCATTCTAAACTCTCCTGTTCATTCAGCCATTGCAGCTTAGCTCTTTTTTTTGGTTTGTTTTTATTTTGTTGTTTCTGACTAAAAAAAAGTACAATAAGACTTTCAAACTCTATGAGCAGCACCTTAAGACAACAATATTCTTCTACCAGATTAAAAACAGGATAGAGGGTGATAACACTGGCCACTAGATTATCTTACACTAGTCTGAAATTTGTTTATGCATATTTTTACATTTCTGGAATGAAAAATTACATGTTTGTTGTGACTTGAGTGGTGAAAGCTCAGACGAAAACAGTGAAATGTGACTCATTGTGTATTACATATGTACACACATGTACAGTCCAACTTTACTGGTGTGTTCACTCAAATGAGGGTAAGTAGTTCATTCAACCATGGCTCCTCCTCCACTCCTTTCTGTATTTACAGATAATTCGAAGGGATGAACTTTGTTTTTTGTTTGAGAACTCATTAGGTGACACCTGATCTGCAATACTATTCAACAGAGTTGAACTTAATTTTAATTTAACGCATGGAGTAGTAAGTAATTAGAATAAGGTAAGATGAGCAACTGGTTCAACTGGTCCTCAGGGCTAATGGCATATTATATGACACAATCAGTGAGGGGGAGATGAGAAAACATCTCACCATAATAATGCCACTTTTATTATACCTTACAGCTTCAAATGTATCTACACTTATTTAGAGACAGCAATCTTTCATCATTATGTCGCATTTTTGACCTGAAAGATTCAACAACATGAATCACTTTTTCCTATAGCTGTGGTTCCTTGATGATGTGTTGTGTTACTAGACAACATGCACAAAACAAATTCAGTCAGTCTGTCCTGTATGCAAAATACTCTGCATATATGAGCTGGATAGAGGAGTGTTTTTTGTCTGCTCATACAAGGTGCCTGTGGCCCCAGTGGTACCAGATATGTATCAGTTGAGCCGGAGACAGGATGTGCCTCCTCCTACTTCAACTCTACTAAATTAAGACCTCTGTCTCAACCAAAAGACACACTCCTATTGTGTGGGTGAAGGAAGAAACCAAGTGGATAACTGGAAAGAAGCAGCCTTTAAACATGGGTGAAGAAAAATATAAACTCCTAACATCACTGAGATTGCCTAAAAACCACAGCAAAGCTTCACACCCTCTCCACACCAGTCATGGAAAACCCTGAACTTTGGCAAAAGAAAACAAAAATGACAAAACGGTAAGGGAAAAGAGCAGACAGGGAGGAGGCACTGAGCACTGTGATACATACAGCCACTTATATTTTTCCTTCTCTTTCCAACCACAGACAAGTGTGGAAGGCTCTCTCTCGAACACACATGTTAAGGTATTTCCTGTTAGCAGTGTGAGGTGGCCAAACAGTACTATGGGTGACTGAGAAAAAAATGGGGCCCACTTGAGGGCTCAGTCAGACAGTGCTCCTACTTCTGCCTCCATTTCCCCCTTTCACTGTCGTCTCAGTCAGTTTAGTGGTGATGAGCCTGAGCTGTTTGTGATTAAAGAGAGTTTGTTGCACTTAAGAGATTTTCTCAGTGTGACTTAGTGGACCACTGAGGACCACTCATCACAACCCCTGTTTAACTTCTATGCACGATTACAGAAAGAGAGAACGAAAAGAAAGAACGAAAGAACGAAAGAAAGAAAGAAAAGAAAAATTAAGGAAAGAGAGAAAGGAAAGAACAAAAGAAAGAAAGAAAGAAGCAGTCGACTCTCTGGCTCTGAGCTATTCCACTCTGGAGCACTGCTTCACATCTGGCTTCTATTGAGGGAGGGATTGGGTTGCACACACTCTTCCCCAGCCTCTGTTATGTGTGAATACTCAACCCACACACACATAGGCTCTCTCTCAGTTAATGGGCACTGGACACTTTCCCACTCACATGGTTCCACATGAGGTTCCTACAACCAGATATCATGTTACAAAGTTACTATCCTCACAGCTCGCATTGCCTCATGTTCATTTACATGGTTTTACAAGACCATGCTATCCACAAAATGAGCTACATGTACAGAAACCAGAAAGGGGGGGAAATATTCTAGTCTCCAGTAAGTGAATGTAACTGGATTGGGCAGTGGGACAGACAGCAGAGTAAGTAGGTAACCAGATTACTGGCCTGTTTCTATGAGCTTACAGACTGAACAACATGCCCTGAATAAAAATCAATACAGATTGGAGTTATGTGAGTATGCCCACACAAACAGGACATGGACTTCTGGCTGGCCCAGTAATTATAAAAACAGTGTTCCATTTGTTTTGTTCCAAGATAAAAATGGAAAAAAGATTTTGAGCTGAATGATTTTTGATACTATAGACTATATAGATATCAATTTGTGTACACATTTACAGGTGTCTTCTACTTCCATTCTCAAGTGTTCATAAGTACACATCTTTGTGTCTCCGATTGAAGATGAGCAGAGAAACGTTTCTTCTTCAGCAGATGAATGTGAACTCCACAGTGAAAGTCAAACTCGTGAGTGAAGTAAGAAGGAAAAAAGTGTATATTTCCTTCATACTTTAGCCAGTTGTTCCAATATGTTTTGCCTACTGCCCACTCACTGATCCCACTTCCTTAAACTTTCTACCCACACTCTGGTTTACCCTCCTTAGCTCTACATTCATATTCCTCTTATATTTTCCAATTCCACAACCACACCCTCACCAGTTGTTCCTCTCTTAAGTATCCACACCCACCCATAGCAACCTCCTTCTTCTTTTGTTGTTGTGCCACCCATTGGTGAAATTGGCTTTGCCCCTCTGTAACCAGGGCCAGATAATACTCCCACAGTCTCTGAGCCATGCAACAGATGGAACAGAAACAGGGGAGCACAAATAAATCTGTTGTTGTATGTAGACAGAAACATAAAGAGGAAGCGGGACATATGTGTTTCAGTATCGTATGCATACCACAAATGTGTGTGTGAAAGGAAAGGGAAATCTGTAAATCAAGACATGACATGTTGAAAACATCTGCATGTTTCATGAAGATTTAAGGCTCTGCTTGTGTTTGTACCTGCTTGCCGTGGTCCTCGCTTTCTCCTGAAAGCAGCGCCGGACTGCAGCGCCTCCAACAGGCCATCCATGATACCAGTTTCATCACCCTCTGTAAACACAGCATCAAAACATAACATCAGCAATGCATCAAATACACTGGATGAAATCAATATGTGGAGTCACATTTGAACTTTTATTTATATCACGCACACACACACACATCACTCAGTGATCACAACCATGTTATTTTAAATCAACACAACCCTGACATACACACTCATTTTCCTTCCCAACAACAGGGGAGTGATTAGTGGTTTTTCTTAACCCTCTATCTATCACTGTTACACTCAGACACGCTAACACACACGTGGGCAGGGGGGTTATTTACCAGCCACGTGGCCATGTTAGCAAATTAGCTACATTAACCCAGATAGGCAGTGACCTAGTTAAGTTACTGTCACTGGTAGGAGCTACATACTGCACTTTAACAGAGATAAGTCTATAACACACAACCACAGTTTTATTTGAAAGACACACCCACCAGGACCAAACCTCCTCATAAACATTAAAATACTCCAGAATTAATGAGTAATGGTGGTTTACAGTTAACAGAGTATTGACAGGAAAGAGACCTTGTATCTCTGTATGTGTACAGGAACAGTACAGTCTGTACGGGTGGCCTTGCTGATTGTTTACATCCACATTGTCTGCACAGACTCTGGTGGCCTTAAATCCGGGAAGGGGGTGCAAACCAATGGGGGTGACTCCATGGCATGCTGCTGTGTCTACAAGTGTGTGAGTGATTGTTTTGTGGGCAGGATTCAGTGGCACAGCTCAGCGCATAGGCAGATGGTTTTAATTATATCTATTTGAACCTGAATAGAGACATAGGGGTCTGGAAAAGGGGGCAGTGAGATTGGGGGTTAAAGGTTTATGTTGTCACCTCCCCAACCCCCAAACACAAACACATAGCTCTGCTCGCACTCACACACACACACACTATTTAATCCTGCAGTAAGCCATGAAGCAGATGGCCTGTGGTCTCGCCTGTCACGTCAGAGAAAGTCTCTCTCACACACTTATCAGGCCTTCCAAAGCTCACATACACCCCTCAATGTCCATATCCTGGAACTGCACAGACAGATCTGAATGATGTAGGCCATGTTTTTTCTCCTTACGGGGGAACACATCTGGCACATTTCCACTCACACTAATCACATGGTTGGCTTAAACCACTGGTGGAAGCACGCAGACACACAAACCTATTTGTGAATATATACTGGAGGCAATAGAGGGACCACACAATGACCCAGCTGTATATAAAACAGGCTTATTGTTGACCGAGTGAACTCCCAACTAAAACTAGAACATCCTAGGGCCAGTGCACTGTATAGCATTATACAAATAGCTTGGCCTAAGGCAGCACTATTTAATAAAGCCATATATGAGTCTTCTTCATCAAAGGGACTCTTTGTAATGTTTGTTTGTTCGATTAGTAGGAAAGATAATTGGGGAAAGCACACTTGTCAGGTTGATTGACTTGTTGATAATCATGTGCTCTTGTTAATGTACATGATTCTGTGGAAGAGGTATCTGATAATGGTGTTATTATTGACAATCAATACAAAATCAGTTCTGAAATGGCCTCCAAAACTGTGGTGGCAAAGTCAGATGCCACACACACACACACATCAAGGTACTGCCTAAAGCGGGTAAGAACATAAGACGGATTAATTAGTATAATAGCATTTGATAATGAGCTCTTAAAGATGTCTCTTTGGATCTGATCTGAATTGGATCACACACACACACACACGCAACGCCGCGCACGCGGGACACGCGCCACAAAACCACACCCACACACACACACACACACAACCACACACACACCACACCCACCACACACACCACACAACACACACACACACACAGGGAGGACAGTATCTTGTGTGGAGCAATAGCACCCCTAATGGATGTTCACACAATAACAGAAAATGTACAAAGAGGAGAGCAGTAACAACAAACAGAAGTGAATGAATGGAGAAATGGGAAGAAAGTATGGGAAAAAATACAGTGTTTAAGTAATTTGGAGAGATAATATATATTTTCATAATGTGCCCTGATCCTGCACCTCTTTCACAGCTGCCTGGGGTGAGACATCAGGCTACCCAGGCTCATCCCATCTCATCTCCCTCTCACCCTGTGCTTTTCTCCACTCCTCCTCTTAGCCCTTTTTTCTAAGAGACAACAACACAGTCTAATCCCCCAGAGAGCATCTGCTGTCCTACCTTCCTCCTTCCCTCTCCCTCCCCCACACTACTGCCTCACTTACTTTCTGTGTAGAGCACGAGCACTCCTAGTGGCTGTTCCCATACCAGCATCAGTGTGGGTGTGTAAACCACACATGCACACACCCTTGGTCACATCCATAAAAAGCACCCTCACACACTCTTTTATAGACAGCACTGACACCTAGCTGTAGAAATAAGAAAAGATCTGTTTCCAAGTAGTCTGGCTTATGTCCAAAGATGAGTGAATGACAGCCAGGGATGGAAATTTCATTACAGTAGTGGACAATATTTAGCAGATAAAATTAGAGCAAAGATCTTACTTAAAGCCCAGATGGTGAATGTGAACTTTTGGGTGTGGCAAAGTACTCTTCAGTCTTGTGCTCTGAATCCTGAAGTTACAGGTTTCTTAGAGCCAAATAAAAGCCAAGTAAAAGCACTAAATGATTAGATTATCAAAATATTAAATAAGTAACAATCTAATAAGAGTGTGAGGACAATCAGTCACTCACAATAACTAGCATCACATGCAGAGCACATGTGAGGCTCCACTGAGTGAGCTGTCTGTCTGACTCAGAAGGAATGCAAGGCCACAAACTGCAAACACATACTGACCTTCCAGGGTTTAACCAATAACTGGGATATTATGTTTACAGAGAGACTGAGAAAGAAGAACATTCAGAGAATTCATGAGAAAGAAGAACATTCAAAGATAGTACACACATACCCTATGTGGGTGTGAGATGCCAGAAGAAAAAAGGGAACAAGGAAAGCGAGAGCGTGCAAAAGTGTAGTTGCTAAAAACAAGCTTTGTTTAATGTTCATCCAGTATGAGGGTTATAAACAAATACAGAACAAAGACCAGGTGTGTGTATGCCAGATTTGTGTGTGGTTGCATTTAAACAGGGGGGTGTTGAATGACTCCTGGCTACAGGGGCAGTCAAATATGCCACCTGTATGTAAATTATCTCCAGCCCACTAATGCACATACACAGTCGTCTTTGAAGCACTATTATGTTCCAGTTGCGCATGTCTATAGAGGCTGATAATGAAATTTGACTACCTTATTTACTACCACAAAATGTCTGCTCCATGCTTTTAACACAGAGACAAAATATTCTAAGTAGAGCCTCAGTGCTTGCTGGGTCTTTAAGTGCCCCTTTAAATGAACGGCAGACACAGGGGGAGGGAAAGGGGACAAGAAGAGGGAGTGATGTAACAAAAGCAAGAAAGCGAGGAGAGGAGAAGCCAGCTGGAACATGGAGAAAGAGGAGAAAGGCCAGAAAGACTTTTTGTAAAACAGGACACACAGATACACATTCTTA